ATATTTTATTATAAACTAATGAACGTCTTGATTCACACACTCAGCAGTTTTCTGCCATCATTCCTTCCTGGCTTTGGTCGCTGCAACGGTACTGCTTTTTCCTCCTATGATGTTTTTATATTATTCTTCATATTTAGTAAAGATTCTGCTCCTCGGTGGTAAAGTGAGCTGCTCTGCAGCCAGACTTGTCCATAGTGGTGATTGGTCAGATGCCGATAACTCCGCCCATTTTATGTGCACGCGCTCATACTCAGATCAGACAAACCTTGGTTAACTTACTGAGTTGATAACCACTGTCATAGGATTGGGGTGACGCTAGCCTGTTTCACAGAGAGGGTAACTTAAGACCTTCGTCAGTTACCATAGTAACAGACTCTATGAACCTAACCTGGTCAGGTCCTGAGGCCTGTCCTACGAAGCCAGATCAACATACCCAGAATATGTTTCAGAGATCCGGATTGACTAACCGTAACAATCGCACTCAGGATAACCGGTCCTACGGTGGTGGTTATCAACTCGATAAGTCAACCCAGGGTTGTCTGATCTGAGTATGAGCGCGTGCACATAAAATGGGCGGAGTTATTGGCATTTGACCAATCGCGACTATGGACAAGTCTGGCTGCAGAGCAGCTCACTTTACCCCCGAGGAGCAGAATATAATCTTTACAAGATATGAAGAATAATATAAAAACATCATAGGAGCAGAAAGCAGCACCGTTGCAGCGGCCAAAGCCAGGAAGGAATGCTGGCAGAAAACTGCTGACTGTGTGAATGAATACGTTCATTAGTTTATAATAAAATATGATCACTCTTCCATCATGAAGGCACGTATTGGACGATAAGCACATCTGAGGATTCCTTTCACTACTGTCCTGCCTAATGTTTCAACTTGTGGCATATCTGACATTTTTTTTTTACTTTCAGCTGCAACCCTGGTGGTGGAAAAAGGAGGTGAAAACAAATTACGAACAAACATAAACATAATTCAAAGCGGTGTAGGCTTATTAACGTATCCTACAAATACAAGCTTTAATGCTAAAGTCAGTTTACTGCTATGGGGTGATATTGGTATGGAAAAAATATGAAATCGCTTTGACATTTTCTGTAGCCAATAGGGGGGAAAAAATGAATGATGGAAGACAGGAGCTCATAGAGATCCTCGTCAGGTTTTGCTGTTTTGCCGGTCCCGAAAAAACCCTCACACTCCTCAATGATCCCCTCACAATTCACGCTCCGATGTGTAGTGGGTCTTCTATAAATGCCGGTGATGCCATTTTGTTGATAACTGCTTCGTTTTCTGCTCGTTCTGAAGTTTTACGAGAGAGAACTGACTTTCAGTGGGCGGTGCTTTAATACCCGGTGATCTCAATCTCGAACATAATCTGCTGCGGAGCAGGTTAGTCGTTCAGCATAAGTTACCATGGTGATGTACCCCGGTAAGAAGTAAACCACCTTCGTAGGACCGAAAACCCAGGATTTAACCTGAAGTTACCTCGCTAACCCTAAATCCTACTTCGTAGTACAGGCCGCCGGTATTCTGTGTTGTGGTTAATGATGTGTGGACAGGTGATGGTGTGGAAAGTCCAAAGACAACACCGGACACGGGGATTCTGAATTGCGGCTGGAAAACGAAGTTACCGCTGTATTCTTTCCAAAACTGGCAGCACTTCTCCGGAGTAGTATACAGACATAAAAAGCTGTGTGCTGTTCAGTTGTTGAGGGTGAGTCTTGGGTTGATGTTTCTGTGGCTGTGAACATTGTGACAGTTTTGCTGTCAATGGCCAACCATGTCAGAGACTCCTGAAGTGTTCAGTGACTTCCAGTCTGTGTCTTTTCAACTGAGTGTGCAAGAGCTTAATTAAAATCGGATACCTGTAGCCACATGTTTAATGAAACTGGAAACTGCCCTGCTATACTCATACCTTTGTCTCACAAGTTTTCCATCTGCATAAGCTTACTCACAGTAAAATAGTAGCTCTGTAGTACACTGACTCCCCATCGCTTCTATAGAAAAGAAATTGGCAGTTGGCAGTTTGTATGTTCCCTCCGCGTTCTCCAGCTTCCTCCCACAGTCCAAAAACATGCTGACGTCAACTGGTGATTCTATATTGTCTGTAGGTGTGAATGGTGAGTGTGCTTGGTTGTCTCTCTGTGTAGCCGTGTGATAGATTGGCGACCTGTCCAGGGTGTCCCCTGCCTTCACTCTGACTCAGCTGGGATAGGCTCCGCCCCCGCTACCCTAGTGAGGATTAAGGTGTATAGATGATTGATGAATAGATTGATTGGATAGTGCCATCACTCCCTTGAGTTTTGATTGGATTAGGCATATGTGCAGCATAGTAATACACCCATGATAATATGTTTTGCTTTGAAGGGTAAATGAAACCTCGTAACGCCAACACTGTTACTAGGCAACAAACAACAAAACTGAATGCCAACCTGTTTCTCCTTTATTCTTATCTCAATGTTTATAAATAGAAAGACTAGCCTACTGATTGCAAAAGTAACTATCTTTAACATCAGGACAGTAGAAAGACCTATGAGCTACAACATTTTTTAAAAAAATGGCATGATGGTGTGTTACTAACACAGGTAAGGAAATCTTTGAGTTGTGGCACAAATATTATTCTACTTTATTCCATTCTCAGCTAATGCTACAGTAAGATCAGTGGAGATGAAGATGAACAGGTCGGCGTTCATGTAGTTGTTTGTTGCCTAGTAACAGTGTTGGCATTACTTAACATAATTAACACATTAAAAGCCAAACATATTACCATGGAATTATTCCCATACCGAAAATATGTCTTCACCAAATAAATCTGAAGAAAATGAAGGCACCTTTAAAATAACATACTTTTTGAGGGACATTATAAAAAGGAATATCTGCAAGGAGGCAGTGGCAGTTTCACTGGTCAGCATCATAGCTGGCATTCTATCAGTTGGAAACTTTTTTTTTTTTTTTTAAATTAAGTATATTTTTGGAGATAGTTTGAGCCTTTATTTCAGTGCAGTTGAGGGGAGATGGGAAGGGGGGGGGATCCATGGTCACTGTGCAGACACTAACAGGCCCTATTCATGGGTCACCTGCTCAACCAGTTGAACTACTGGGATGCTGTTGGTTGGGGACTTGCGACCGGGTTGTTTCACAGAGATGAAAGAGCACGAGCACAAGTCTTACAAATCTGACAAGCACAAATGATCAGTGTGAGTAGAGGAGAGGCACTCAAGCTGAAGTACAGATTTGTGCATCAACAGTTATTCTGTGCAGACGAACAGTTTGGAGCAGAAGCAGAGCAGATCTGTACCCAAGCAGGGGTTAACTGAGATTTCAGTATTGTCATTAACACACAAATACATGCAGTATTTCTTTTCAGGTGGAGCAGTTTGTTATTTGTCACCACTTATGATATGTCCTGACTCATTTAATTAATTACATATTTGCGTTTCTGAGGAGTGAAGGAATGAAGTTGATGTCACGTGCATTACTCTGTCTCAGAGCAGAGTTGTGGTGCCACGTGGCACAATTTCAGAAGCTTTACCTTTCCATAAAACTACATTTTTTAGGAATAGTGACTCTATTGAAGTAAAAAGCAGTGGTGAGTATAAGTTTTGAAATTGGATGTTTGTGTGTGGTGTCCCTTGTGTGTGTGCAGTCACCTTGGAAGTGTGTGCAGCCTGGTAGAGCTCAGGTAGCTCCATCAGAGTGTCTGCAGGTATATCTTGGTCAAGGATGCCGTAGATGAGAGGAGGAATGGAAGTGAAGAGCAGGTTGAAGAAGATGAGCACCCAAGAGTTGGTCATGACACTCCCAGAGAAACCACAGAAAAATTGATACCAGAACAGCAGGTTCACATACATCTGCAGACACAGGCAGACACAGCAGATTTTTTTATTTTTATCCCAACTGTAATTTGTAGTAACAAGGAAGTGTAGAATAGCTGCACACAAAGGTTTGCTTGCAATGTCTTTTGTGCATGACAACTGACAAATTTCGCAATAAACACAGTTGACAATATTTATATGATTATATTGTTAATATAATCAATAAAAAGTAAAATTCATTCAACTTTCAGTTTTGTTTATTTATGCAGTTTCTTCCATCTATGTAATAAAGGGAATCTTGAAAAATCAAGTGACACTATATGAGATGGTCTAATAAAATCTTGGTAATTTATACAGTCTGCTACAGACTGTATAAATTAGGCAATTCAAAAGAATCACAAGTATATGGCCTTGTTTTGTCTTTTTAGAAATTCCATCAAATAGTTTAATTGCCTTTAATGGACACTTTAACCTCTTAAGCCTGAGACTAGTTTTTTGAATTTCCACTTGAAAAACATTTCCAAGTCTAATTTGTAACAGCTGCAAAACTGTAAGGGCAAACTAAACAATCAAATTTGATTTGATGCAACAGAAATGAAGCACAAGAAATGCTACATCCATTTTAGTCGTCATAGAACCTGGAGGCATCTCCAGTGAATAGCTATTTTAAAAAGATTTTTTCAAAGCTTATAAAGAATTCTCACCACATTTTTGTAGATAAAGTAGAGGATCATGTTTGCAAGACGAGAGTAACACCAGTGTCCATGCACCAGCAGCAGTTTACTAAGGTGTTTAAACCTGGAAATGGCAAAGTCGCTGGACATGACAGCCTGAGGAATAATACACAGGTGACAAAAATATTACCACAAAGTGAAAAGGCATTACCTCCAAAAGCTCCTACTAGCAAGTGACAATACAAAGATAGTGACTACTGTAATATCACATACAGAAGGGTAACATATTAAAGAAAAAAATGGACCCTTGACCTCCACTGTGAGTGGATTTGGTGGCAGTGCTATGCTCTGGCATGGTTTGGGTCTACCTGTCCTGATGGATAAGTCTTTGCAACGCGCTAAAAATTATTCTGCGTGATCATCTTTTATCCTTTAGACTTAGGCTGACTTTATTAATCCCAGAAGGAAATTCAGGTGTTACAGCAGCATGACTATTCAACAGAGGGGGTAAACAAAGCAAAAGGACAACATGAAACAGTTCAATCCTGATGGAAATGGTGTCTGCCAGGATGAAAATGCCTCATCCATATGGCATGAGGGGTCACTGAATTTGATTTGGATGACGTGAATTGTATGATGTGTCCTTCATAGTCACCAGATCTCCAACCAACTGAACACCGATGGGAGATTCTGGGCTCAAGTGTTAGAGCGTGCTCTCCATCACCATCCTCAAAATGCCAAATGAGGGAATATCTTTTGAAATAATAAGTCCCATCTCTCTTGTGGAGTTCTAGACTTACACAATTAACACCAAGGAGCACTGGGCTGAAGCTGCTCTGGCGGCCTGTAGTGGCCCAAGCCCTTCTTTAGACACTTGTTCTTCTTTTTCATTTTTTTCTTTAATATGTCATGCCTGGAGGCAGATATGTATTTGTTTATTCTAATGCTAGCCCTGGCACATTTAGAGAAGTAGCCAAACATAAGGCATTTACAAAAACAGGACATATTTTAGTGGTTACAAAATACATATAAATTTAAGTGCTTGGTCGAGACTGAATTAAACATGCACTAACCAAGGATACCATTATATTGTTGTAAAAACCTGTCATTTTAGTAATGTTTGGTTAGAGTGTTCTTACCTGCATTCCCTCCTGACCAGATATCCCAATGCCCACATCAGCCACCTGAATCATGCTAACATCATTAGCTCCATCACCTAAATGAACAAAAAAATTTTAATTGTCCTCTATCTAAAGAGGTTTGCACAAAGTCTTTCAGGCAGTAGTTTGAAGCTTAACACCCACCATACTCTGTCCTGAGAATTCAATTGATAATGTGACCTGAAGGAAAAAATTAACTGCTCTACAGAATGTTCAACACTTCCAATAAAACCTAACAGCTTCAGTACAGGACAACTGGACTTTTCTATTTGGCTACTGAAGATGTTTCACCTCTCATGCACAAGGTTTCTTTAGTTACTTCCAGTAAAAATGTAAAAGAAAAATATTTAACCCATAATCATTAACAAGCAACTCTCAAGCAGTTTTCCTATAGGCTGTGTCCTTACCCACAGCGAGGGTCATAACACCAAGCTGGTCCCGGATCAGTTGAACAACTTGGCTCTTTTGCAGCGGAGTGGACCGGCAGCAAATGACTGCCTTGCATCTACAGGTCAGCTCCAGAAAATTGCTCTTCAGTTCCTCCTGCAGGGCCCAGTTAAGGGTCTGGCCATCGATAACCAGAATAAATCCAGTCACACTGACTAAGGAGGATTCCACTCTTGCAGTCAGGTCAGTCAAACTACCTTCACCACACTGGACTTCCAGTTTGAGCTCCTCAAGTAAAGCTGCACATGCATCCTGAAGGAAAAAAAAGTTGTAAGAACTGTCACATAGTGCTCAGGACAACTGCATTCAACACAATGTTAATGCTATGCATGCAATGAGTTGGTTTTTTTTGTTTGTCCAAAGAAAGTATTAACTGTTGGTCTTGTGGCCCAGGCAACTATTTCTGAAAAGAGAGATCAAAGAGTGTTAGGCAGATTTTGATGAAATATAGTATCAGCATATATGATTCCTTATTTTTCTCTAGAACCCCTAAAGTTTCTTCAACAGATGAGATCGAAATTCCCAATTGTTTATTTGTTTAGTATTTGACATAAAATAATGGCACAATTTCCATGACATTAGTTTGACAAGTTCTGTTTTCAGCCTTTACATATACAGGCAATGCAAGACCAAAACACCAGCTTTGGATGAGCATCTAAACTTCTTCCAGCAAGCCCTGAAACAGTGCTACTACCCTGCAGCCACCGACCTTGCTTCCACAGTTGGCTGTCAGCAGCTGGTCACTGGCATGGAGAAGTTTGCAGGCGTAGGCAATATTGATGGCAGTCTCCTGTTTGTCTCCAGTGAGAACCCAGACTTTGATCCCAGCCCTCTGAAGGGTTTCAATGGTCTCTGGGACCTCCTCCTGCAGTCTATCTACAATCCCTGTTGCACCTGAACTCAAACATACAGGGACAAAGCACTCTAGATACTGCTGCCTCCAGTTCTGATACAGGAGTGATGGTGTTGGTGTGTTCTGCAGTGTGCAGCTGTCCTACCCAGTAGAGTGAGGTTGGTTTCCAATCTCTCAGCTGACTCCAGCAGCAGCTCCTCTCTGTTCTCTATGCTGCTCTCTGCCAACAGCTGTCCCTTCAGCCACACGTCATACTCTTTCTCATCTAGACCCTGCTCCAGACAAAGAACACACAGTTTTCAGGACAATACACACATGCTTCCATGCAGAGGTGGATTTACTCCAGAGCAGACTGTGGTCCATGTTTTGGAAGAGTTCTGTCAAATATGAACTAGGTAATGGAACTGAGAATGTGAGTGTACACTGTTCTCTTGGCTTTATTAAGTGGAGACTTAATGAATGAGAAGTCAAAACTGGAGATGCACAGAGAAGAACAAAGAGAGAAAGAGCTGAAAATGCACTATTAAGTTTAAAAATCAGTTGGCGTTGTTATAGGCATTATATCAAGGCTCAATCTCTGTGAGTGCGTCTTTGCAGAGCATCCTACAGCACTAATCCATCAAAACAAAAACTGCAACTAATCGAACAAAAGTCTATCTGAGATTGGTAGTACTACCCTTCCTGCTGACTTGTCCACAACAAATGATTTAGTGTGTCTCAGCTTCTTTACATGAAAATGTAGGTGGGTTTGAATACTAAAGCAAACGTCATATCATTTCACTGTTGTATATACACACATGGACAAAATTGCTGGTACACTTTGGTTAATGAAAGAAAAACCCACAATGGTCACAGAAATAACTTGAATCTGACAAAAGTAGTAATAAATAAAAATTCAATGAAAATTAAGCAATGAAAATCAGACATTGCTTTTGAACCGTGGTTCAATAGAATTATTTTAAAAAATAAACTCATAAAACAGGCCTGGACAAAAATGATGGTACCCCTAGAAAAGACTGAAAATAATGTGACCACAGGGACATGTTAAATCAAGGTGTGTCCTCTAATTAGCATTACAGGTGTCTACAAACTTGTAATCAGTCAGTCGGCCTATTTATAGGGTTGCAAGTAGTCACTGTGCTGTTTGCTGACATGGTGTGTACCACATGGACCAGAGGAAGCGAAGGAGAGAGTTTCTCAGGAGATTAGAAAGGACAATTATAGACAAGCATGTTAAGGGTAAAGGCTAGAAGACCATCTCCAAGCAGCTTAATGTTCCTGTGACTACAGTTGCACATATTATTCAAAAATTTAAGATCCATGGGACTGTAGCCAACCTCCCTGGCCGTGGCCGCAGGAGGAAAATTGATGACAAATCAAAGAGACGGATAAAAGGTCAAGGTCCATCAGTGTCAGATCGCACCATCCGTCGTTGTTTGACACTTCATGGGAGACGACCAAGGAGGACACCACTGTTGAAGACCAATGAGACTGGAATTTGCCAAACTGCATGTTGACAAGCCACAAAGCTTCTGGGAGAATGTCCTATGGACAGACGAGACAAAACTGGAACTTTTTGGCAAGGCACATCAGCTCTATGTTCACAGACGCAAAAATGAAGCATATCAAGAAAAGACAACTGTCCCTACTGTGAAATATGGAGGAGGCTCTGTTATGTTCTGGTTCTGCTCTGCTGCATCTGGCACAGTGTGTCTTGAATCTGTGCAGGGTCCAATGAAACCTCAAGACTATCAAGGTATTCTTGAGAAAAATGTGCTGCCCAGTGTCAGAAAGCTTGGTCTCAGTCGCAGGTCATGGGTCTTGCAACAGAATAATGACCCAAAACAGACAGCTAGAAACACCCAAGAATGGCAAAGAGGAAAACATTGGACTATTCTGAAGTGGCCTTCTATGAGCCCTGATCTAAATCCTATTGAACATCTGTGGAAGGAGCTGAAACATGCTGTCTGGAGAAAGCACCCTTCAAACCTGAGACAACTGGAGCAGTCTGCTTATGAGGAGTGGGCCAAAATACCTGCTGAGAGGTGCAGAAGTCTCACTGACAGTTACAGAAATCATTTGATTGCAGTGATCGCCTCAAAAGGTTGTGCAACAAAATATTAAGTTAAGGGTACCATCATTTTTGTCCAGGTCTGTTTCATGAGTTTATTTTTTAAAATAGTTCTGTTAAACCACGGTTCAAAAGCAATGTCTGATTTTCATTGGTTAATTTTCATTGAATTTTTATTTATTATTACTTTTGTCAGATTCAAGTTATTTCTTTGACCATTGTGGGTTTTTCTTTCATAAACCGAGGGGTACCAACAATTTTGTCCACGTGTGTATTCCCTGTCCACATAAAGCAGAACTTTCAATGTCAGCATCCCTCTCATCCAGAGCTCCTGTATTTTACACATGAAGTGCTGGATATGCCAGCTACGCTATATTGTTTTGACTAGACCTGAACACTGACAAACTAGTGCCAGAGGTATGCCAGTTTTACTGTTTTACCCTCCAGCAGCTACACACTGCAGAGCCAGCCTGGGCATAGGCGACATAGGTGGCTGTCTGTAGGGTAGAAAATGTCAGCTTATTCTTACAGATTCTTCTGACATGACTTTCAGTGCCTGGGGAAACCCATACAAATTATATATGAAAATGTGTTCCTTGATCAGGAATGGTGTGCTATGATCTCTGGCAGTGATTTGTCATTTGTGTTTTTTGAAAATTTGTAAAAAAAACAACAACAAACAAACAAAAAAACCCCAACAAACTGCATTACAAATCCCCATTCAAATGAATGGTAAGTCATCAGGACAACTGCCAAACCCCCGCTTTCCTTGGAGCCCTGTAGCTCTGGCATGCCTTACACTTCAAAGTTGATTCAAAGTTTAAACGGGTCACAAGACTTTGAATGTTGTTCATTTAAATCTGTGTTTTGATATCTTTTATAGTTTTTACACAGCGGAAGTTCAGGTTTTATGCATTTTTTGGAAATCCAGAATTTTTCTTTAGCTTTTTTCTTCACGTGCGATGCTACCCACTCTAAATTTTGACCAGAAAATGAGTCATTAACCGTGTCTCCTGACAATTTCTTCTCTACATGAAAAATGTATACATAAAAAATTTAGATATTTTTGTTCTCTTTTACCTAGTGTAAATCCCACTGTAGTAGGACTTACAGATTTTTAATGAATCACCTAACAGCACAGAGTGTTCCAAGCAAAGCTCCCTGACTCCCATTATATCTGAGCAGCAATGTTTTGGGTGAAAATCAGAAATGGTGAGTCTTTCTAACCTGCCACCAAAATCTACAGTGCTTAATAAATGTATGATGCCACCACCCAGTGTCAGGTTTATGCCACAGCTGCCCTACAGCACTGGTAATTACCAAAAGCATTTTTTATGTTTCTGTAATGGTTAATACACCAGTATGTAGAAGCTCTTTAACTAAAATGATGTTTTTAATGCTAAAATATAATTCTTGTTATCTATGAATTTTCAAATTTACTGTTATACTTAAAAACAGGAAAAAATAGTACAGCACATTATTATTTCTTGATTAGGATGTCAGATTAGAGTTATGTACTTGCATTCCTGAACAGAAAAATCAGTTTCAGTGGTTGAATGTTATGCTTGACTCATTCCTGACTTCTCAGAGAAGCTGAGTGGCTCAGACTTGGGTATAAAAAGGCAAATTCAGTTTGAAATTCCTCATTCCTGTTCAAAATGGTAAAATGTGAAGAGTTCACTGAAAATGAAAGAGCCCCATTAAAGCACTTCATGATGCTGGATGGTCTCTGAGAGAAACAGGGAAAGACAAAGTGTTCTCACAGTTTGGTCAAGTATGATTTGGAGTTAGATGCTGAGACTGGCACTGACAAAGTTAATTGAAGCAGATGTCAGACACCTCAAGATCTGAAGTACTAGAGACAGAAGGAAGACCACTGCTGATCTTCAGGCAGAGATGAATGCTTCTAGATCAGAGTCTGAGTAAGTCTCTCGAATGACCATAAGCAGCCATCCAGAAACGCCTCAGATTTGACAGGGAGCAAAAACACTGGACTGTTGATGACTGGAAGAAGGTACTCTGGATGGACAAGTCTAAGTTTAAACTTTCTGGATTGTCGCGTTTGTGTTGTCAGAAAAGCTGGAGAACTTTTTGATGCCAGATGCATTGTACCCACAGTGAAACACGGTGAAGATTCCATCATGGTATGGGGTTCTATTTGTGGAAATGGTGTGGGCAAATTCGTGAAAATCGACGGTATCATGGACAAGAACGTCTACCACTACATCTTAGTGCATTGTGGAATCCCTTCTGGACTGAATCTGATTGGTTGTGGGTTCATATGCCAACAAGACAATGAGCCCAAGCATACTACAAAGCTGTGCAGTGACTATCTGACCAAGAAAAAGGAATGTGGAGTTCTGGAACTGATGGACTGGCCAAGTCAAACACTGGATTAGAATCCTATTGAACAAATTTGGGATGCAGTACATTCAAAGATTGATCACACAAAAGTTTCATCTAAAGCAAGTTTGTGGGAACAGCTAGAAACTATCTGGAACTCAGTAACAACAGAGACTGTCTAAAAGTGCATAAAAACAATGACAGCAAGAATGCAGCTGTTATCAAGGTCAAAGGAGGTTATAGAAAATATGAAGGTTTTTGGTTATTACAACGCCCTGCGATGGACTAGCGACCTGTCCAGGGTGTCGGCTGGGATGGGCTCCAGCCCCCCCGCGACCCTGGTGAGGATTAAGCGGTGTATAGAAATGGATGGGTTATTACAACTCCTGGAAAAAATTATGGAATCATCAGTCTTGGAGGATGTTCATTCAGTTGTTTTAATTTTGTAGAAAAACAGCAGATCACAGACATGCCACAAAACTAAAGTCATTTAAAACAGTAACTTTCTGGTTTTAAGAAACACTGAAAGAAATCAAGAAAAAAAAAATTGTGGTCGTCAATAACAATTGCTTTTTTAGATCAAGCAGGGAAAAAATTATGGAATCATTTAATTCTGAGGAAAAAATTATGGAATCATGAAAAACAAACAAACAAAAGAACACTACAACACACCACTAGTACTTTGTTGCACTACCTCTGGCTTTTATAACAGCTTGCAGTCTCTGAGGCATGGACTTAATGAGTGACAAACAGTACTCTTCATCAATCTGGCTCCAATTTTCTCTGATTGCTGTTGCCAGATCAGCTTTGCAGGTTGAAGCCTTGTCATGGACCATTCCACCACAGATTTTCAATTGGATTGAGATCCGGACTATTTGCAGGCCATGACATTGACCTTATGTGTCTTTCTTCAAGGAAAGTTTTCACAGTTTTGCTCTATGGCAAGATGCTTTATCATCTTGAAAAATCATGTCATCATCCCCAAACATGCTTTCAATTGATGGAATAAGAAAAGTGTCCAAAATTTCAATGTAAACTTGTGCATTTATTGAAGCTGTAATGACTGTCATCTCCCCAGTGCCTTTACCTGACACGCAGCCCCTTATCATCAATGACTGCGGAAATTTGCATGTTTTCTTCCGGGAGTCGTCTTCATAAATCTCATTGGAACGGCACCAAACAAAAGTTCCAGCATCATCACCTTGCTCAATACAGATTTGCGATTCATCACTGAATATGACTTTCATCCAGTCATCCACAGTCTACGGTTGCTTTTCCGTAGCCCACTGTAATCTTGTTTTCTTCTGTTTAGGTGTTCATGATGGCTTTCATTTAGCTTTTCTGTATGTAAATTCCACTTCCTTCAGGCAGTTTCTTACAGTTCGGTAACAGACGTTGACTCCAGTTTCTGCCCATTTGTTCCTCATTTGTTTTGCTGTGCATTTTCTGTTTTCAAGACATATTGCTTTAAGTTTTCTGTCTTGATGCTTTGATGTTTTCCTTGGTCTACCAGTATGCTTGCCTTTTACAACCTTGCCATGTTGTTTGTACTTGGTCCAGATTTTAGACACAGCTGACTGTGAACAACCAACATCTTTTGCAACAATCCGTGAAGATTTACCTTCTTTAAGAAGTTTGATAATCCTCTCCTTTGTTTCAACTGACATCTCTTGTGTTGGAGCCATGATTCATGTCAATCCACTTGGTGCAACAGCTCTCCAAGGTGTGAGCACTGCTTTTTAACTGCAGACTAATGAGCAGATTTAATCTGATGCAGGTGTTAGTTTTGGAAATGGAAATTTACAGGGTGATTCCATACTTTTTTCCTCAGAATTGAGTGATTCCATCATTTTGCCCTCTGCTTGATCTAAAAAAAAAATTGTTATTGACGACCACAATTTTTTTTTCTTGATTTCTTTTAGTGTTTCTTAAAATCAGAAAGTTGTTATTTTAAATGACTTTAGTTTTGTGGCATGTCTGTGATCTGCTTTTTTTCCCTACAAAATTAAACAACTGAATGAACATCCCCCAAGACTGATGATTCCATAATTTTTGCTAGGGGTTGTATGTGTAAAAAAATGACTATTCAGTTGTTTCAGTTTGTTTGCCAAATACATAAAAATTAAAGCCGCAAGCGGCGATGGACGGGTCCTCGCCCTACACTTGTCGGCCGTTGTGCTCGGCGGGGTGTGGCGCAAACCTGCTCCGGGCACGACTGTGATCTGGCATGTCGAGTTTGGGGCAGATCAGAGCAAGTGTGGCCTATTTACGAGCCACTTCCTGTTTAGTGGCGAGCCGCGGCGGTGTGCGTGTTGGCCGGGGTGGAAACGCGCTCTGGCTGAGACTCGGAGCACGCGTGCAAAATTTCAGGCCGATTGGAGCACAGACACAAGCACGTCTTGTGTTCTGGTGTTTTATGGCGTTGTGGCCAAATTCAGGGGGGCGCCATTTCCACGCCGTCACACTTGTGCGGACCGTTTTACAAACGTATAATCACCACCTCCTGCAGTTTGTGCTGGCCAAATTTCAGGTGTGTACGACCTTCCCTGTAGGAGGAGATAGATTTTGAAAATGGCCAAAAATGGCCAAAAGTCAGCCAAATGCGCCAAAATTGTCACAGGGGTTTTTCAACATAACGGACTTCCCGTTGGGTTTAGGGCTTGGCGCTGATTGACTTTTTTGTGCGTCCTGACCTGCTACACATGCCCAGCGAATCTTGTAGCTGTAGGTGAAACGACCTTCCGACAAGAGTCAGTTGAATGCAAAAAACACTGCGAAAATGGACAAAATGGCCATTGATCGAAATTGGACGGGCCACCATTTCCAAACCGGGCCTCATCTGCGAAGCGTTTGAAGAACTTTTAGTCACCACGTCATGTAGTTTGTGCCTGCCAAATTTCAGGTGTGTACGACGAACCCCCTAGGAGGAGTTCGATTTAGAAAATGGCCAAAAGTGGCCATTTTTGAGCAAAAATGGACCGACATAGGGACATAGGGCCCTGCGGGCAAGGACCCCTGCTTGCTGCAGCAAGTAGGGGTCCTCGGATCCTATTGTTCCTGCTGCGTTTCTTTCTTTCTTCTTATTTTCCTGACCAACGCGTTTGCCTTAATTTGACCCCCTAAACATGCTCAAAAACTCACCAAAATTGGCACACACGTCCGAATTGGTGAAAAATTTGATAAAATGAAAAAAAAAAAGAACAAAAATGCTCTCTAGCGCCACCTAGTTGCAGAAAAACACACTAAAATGGCCCTAGCGCCCAGTAGGAATGTCGCACAGAGATCAAACCAACACCAAAACGTTCGTCTCAATGAGACCCACAAATCTCACACTGACACCCCTGACCTATCTCCAACAGGAAGTCCGCAATTTGCCTTTCAAAGTAAGAAAATCTGCAAAAACTTCTTTTGGGAAAAAATTATCTTGTCTGACACCGTAAATCGCACCAACTTGAAAATCGCACAGGAGACAGACAAGGCATTGATCTACAAAAGTTCTGAAGGGATTTGGTGTTTCTCAACCGGTTTTCGAATGGCGAGCCGTTAAAGTTGATGAGCTGCCACAGCCTTGGCTCATGCTTTGTATGGGTGTCTATGCGGCATGTGCAGACATGCTGTGTCAGTTGGTCATCTAAACAAAAAACTAAAGGTCCTACAGCTTTTAAAATGACACTGAGGGCTTCCTAACAAGATTATCTATCAGAGCACCGGCTGCTCTGAGTTGGCAAGCAAACAGAAATGTATTGGGTAAAGTGCAATCATGAAAATGTTTCCTGTGACGTTGCATGGATGCATGCATCCACCAGCCAGAGCTCTCTTCTTCTTGGCAAGCTAGGCAATGCTATGACAACGTTGCTATGAGCTAGTGGTTGGATATCTTTGTCATTAGAGCAGCCCATGTCATGTGAAATAGGCCTCTTGGCCCATGTCAGATAAACAAATTCAAAGCAGTTTAATTAGGAAAAGCTTAAGGAAAAGCTTTCTTTATTAAGTTCATTTTTTGTAATTAATCAATTGATTGACTGATTGATAAGGCTGACAACTACAGCGTAAGAAAATTGCTCAAAATTTGCATCCTTACAGTAAACATAAGCAGGTTTGTAGGGCCAGTAACGTAAACGTGTAGCTTCAGAGCTGTTATTATTTTTTCAGTTTTGTACATCGTCAAATTTTTACTTTCTGACATAGGGGAGCTCTGCTTATCTCTAATTCAAACTCCTCACAACTGTTTCCAACTCAAACTGATTGGTTAAAGCCACAGGACTTCATGTTGGTAATAATGTGTCATTAAACTGTGAAATCATGAAATATTATCAACGCAGCTTTTTTTTTTTTTTTACTACATGGAGACAGCTAAGGACAGACAGGAAAGGTGGAAAAGAGAAGGAAGATGACATGCAGCAAAGGGCCTAGGCAGAAATCCAACCAGTGTCCCTGTGGTAAGGATTCAGTCTTTGTACATGGTGTGTGCACTCTACCAGGTGAACTACCAGGGCTTCCCATACGCTGCTATTTTACTTCATCTTCCAGAAGTGGTACCTTTTTAGCGATGCAGAGTGTGCGGAGGCCTTCTCTGGCATAGGTATCCAGATGTTTTTGGGTTTGTTCTCTGATGTGACTGTACATGTCCAGAGCCTGCTCTTCACCTGGAAAAAAGGGTATACAGACATTAAGAAAGATATTATTATAAATGTAATTGGTGTTTTTAGATCAGTCTGAAGAAAACCTTCTTCCGTTGGGGCTGTATTTAGGGCCCTAATACTAATCCATAACCCTTCTATAAAGGTAATTTAGCAACAGACTAAAAGAAACAGCAGCAGTGCGCTAAATGCCCAGTTTCCTAGTTTAGTATGGGGTCTGGGAACAGACAGCAGGAGTAAGTTCTTGGAGCAAAGACAGCAGCATCCCATACTGCTGTGATGAGCATAGCTCCCTAAATATAAAGGAAGCAGACCAAGAATATCTCTATTATTAAGAATATCCCAATGATTGACTCTATGAAGGGACAAGGCAGACCATCCAACTTAGCGTACAACACACAGTGGTGAATAAGTAATTACCCTTAGGAGTCTCAGCCAGGTCCATGATGACAGAGTCTGCTCCCTTGGTGTAAACCACTACCTGTCCTGTGAGTGGGTGGCGGACCACCACTGACATCCTCTTCCTGTTAGAGTCAAAGGGCAAAATGTGGAGCAGTGGGACAGCCAGAGAGCCAAGTCCTGGCAGATCCACCAGCAGGCTGTCTGCAGAGCGACCCCTCAGGGTGCAGCGATACGCCTGCGCTGCATGGACCAGAGCTGCCTCATCTGGACTCTCTGCCTCATACAGCAGTTCATGATGAGTGTCCCCATCAGAGGCAATTTCTCTGTTCAGGTTCTCCACAGCCTGCACGGCCATGTCAGGGTTTGTCTTTGCATCCCTGAAATTATCATCTGTCTCCCAGTCCTCCATCTGTACAGCATCTTCTCTCTCCCTTACGGCAGATGAGTCCAGCTCACCCTTATGGTTGGTGGTTTCCAGTTTGCTTTCTTGGCCTATGTCTGACCTGTCTGTGGTATCGTTAGGAGGTGTAGAGAAAGTGAGGGAGCCAGTTTTCCCTCGTGTGAACAGCCTGCTGGCGCAGCTGTGAGGGCTGCCTTTGATGGGAGGAGGAATTGAGTGGGAGGAGAGGGCTGAGAAAGGAGAGAAGCTGAAGCGCTGAAACATCAGCTTAATTTCTTCCAAGGACTTGAGAGGTGTTTGTATTTCAGGCACCTGAAGGAAAAAGGGAACATGACATCAGCATCTATGAGAAAACTCAAAGCTGACCAGCTCAATGTACACCCTAGAAAGTATTCAGATCCCTTCACTTTTGCTAGATCTTATGACATGATAAATTTAAAGTTAATAAAATCTACACCTTTCCCATCACTACACTCAACAATCGATAACACAGGGAAAACAATTTTTAAGTTTGTCAAAAGTCAGGAGCTAAAATCTCTCCTACACAAAGGTATTTGGACCTTTGCTATGGCACTCCAAGTTGTAGTCCGATGCATCCTGTTTCCTTTAAAAACAGGGTGCTTGCATCATGCTATGGAGGCACTTCTCAGTGGCAGGAACAAGGAGACTGGTCAGAACTGAAGAAAGAATGAATGCAGCCAAATACAGACAGGTCTTTGAAGAAAACCTGGTCTGGAGTGCATTCAACCTGAGCCTGAGACAACATTTCACCTACCAGCACACTGGCGTAGTGATAAAGAAAATAACGCATCCTGTGATTCTAATCTTTATTCCATCACCCATTGTTATCAATAACTTTCTTACTTTTTTTGTCTACCAGACCCCTTGATTTAACCACTCTTTGTCATTGATTACCAAATGCAAACTATATGTAAACCAATCACTATTCACTTCAGTATTGACATACTGTCCCCACTCTACCCTCTGACCATCTGTATAAAATGCAGATTTACCTTCACAGACTCACGCTCTATGTTGGTAAGCCCATCGTATGCCAAAACAAGAATAAAACACCCCAAACAGCAAACTTTGGATGGGGACTATGAATACATTTCTGCAGCAGCAGCACATAGCCACCACAACACTTGAGTAGTTTCAGTACAAATGTCTGATACTTCCTGCATGATCAAGCCACAGCCCAGAACCAAAACCTCTGTAACATCTGTGAAGAGACCTGAAAATGCCAGTACACAGGCACTTTCCACTCAGTCTGGTGAAGTGTGACAGGGTCTGCTGGGAAGATTGGAATAACTGCCCATCTCAATGGAAGCACAGCCTGTAGAACCTTACCTAAGAAAAGCTTTTACTGCTGCCACAGCAGCTTGTATAATGTATTCAATGCGTTAGTGCAGCTTGATGTAAAAAAAAATGCTCATTTAATCAATTTAAAAATGTAATTAATACTACTATAAAGTGTGGTAAAAGTGCAGTGGTTGTAATACTTCCTAAAATAACTGTACATAGGTATATATACCTGTATATTAGCAATTTAGCATAACGTCCTTAGGGTTAAATTTTCAGATGTCAATCAGTAGCTTTCTGATTCTGACCAACTCACTGTTCAGCCACCAGCTCATAGGGCCATATTCTCCTCGTTCTCCACTCTGACTGAGGAGGAAGTCTCCAAGCTAGTGCTGGACTCTCGTCCTACTACCTGTCCACTGGACCCGATACCACCCAACCTCTTACAAACCATTTCCTCAGCACTTAACCCTGCAATAACACATATCATCCTCATTTGCTACAGGTGTGTTCCCTGCTACATTTAAGCAAGCTCGAGTCACTCCAATACTCAAAAAAACTACACTCGACCCAGCCCAGGTTGAAAACTACAGACCGTTTCACTACTGCCCTTCCTGTCTAAACTACTTGAGCGAACTGTCTTCAACCAAGTCTCTACTCTCCTCTGTGACGACAATCTGTATGACCCGCATCAGTCTGGTTTTAAAATGGGGTCACTCGACTGAGACTGCCCTCCTATCTGTAACACAATCTCTGCGATTTGCTAGAGCTACTGGACAGTCTTCTTCTCTGTTGCTGCTAGATCTGTCAGCTGCCTCTGACACAGTTAACCACCACATCCTCCTCGCCACACTCACTGAGCTGGGCATCTCAGGATCTGTCCTCTGCTGGTTTGTGTCCTGCCTCTCAGGAAGATACTTCAGAGTATCCTGGAGGGGAGAAGTGTCCGAACCGCATAACCTATCCATAGGGGTTCCTCAAAGGTCAGTGCTTGGTCCCCTTCTCTTCTCAATTTACACAACCTCACTCGCTGCAATAATCCAGGCCCATGGTTTCTCATACCATTGCTATGCTGATGATACTCAGCTATTCCTGTCGTTCCCCCCGGACGACCACACGGTCTCTGCCCGGATCTCATCATGCCTTGCCGACATCTCCGCATGGATTAAAAACACCACTTTCAACTCAACCTCTCTAAGACTGAGCTCCTTGTCATCCCAGCCAGTCCCTCTCTACAACAAGAAATCAACATCCAGCTTGATTCAAACCAACTCAAACCTACAAATTCTGCCAGAAACTTGGGTGTCATGACTGATGACCAACTAACCTTCAAGGTTCATGTGGCCTCTGTTGCTCAGTCATGTCGATTCGCCCTGTAAAACATCAGGAAGATCAGACTTTTCCTGTTTGAACATGCAGCACAACCCCTGGTACAAGCTCTAATAATATCATGCATTGACTACTGCAACTCCTTACTGGCAGCCCTCCCCGCATCCACGGTCAAACCTCTGCAGATGTTCCAGAATACAGCAGTGTGTCTGGTTTTCAACCAGCCAAAAGCAGCACGTCACCCCGCTATTCAGATCGCTTCACTGGCTTCCAGTTGCTGACCGCATCAAATTCAAAACCCTGACACTTTCTTACAAAATCGCAATGAGAACAGCTCCCTCCTACGTGAACTCTCTTCTTCAGATCGACACTCCCTCTCACTCACTATGCTCGACCAACAAAAACCGCCTGATACAACCACCGCAACAGGGCCCGAGGTCAATAGCTAGACCCTTCTCCTCTGTGGTTCCACAGTGGTGGAACAAGCTACCAAACTCTGTTCAATCTGCTGATTTCCTCTCAGTCTTTAAGTAAAGACTAAAGACCCAGTTCTTCACTGAACACCTTTGTACTTGACAGACTGAAAACAAAAAAACAAAACAAAACAAAAAATCCTATTACCGACCACACAGTCTGCCACTGGCATCAACGCCCTATCACATTTGAATTTGTTCTATGGCACTTATCTAGATTGTTTTCTCCTGACTTGATCCTTGCTTGTGTTGTATCTGTTCTCAGATGTACGTTGCTTTGGAGAAAAGTGTTTGCCAAGTGAAATTATAGAATTGTAGTTTCAATTACGATGGTATTCCTAACTTTAGCAACTGTATGCTAAATGTACAGATGTATTACATGTGAAACAAATACTTTGATCATATTGTGTTTCATCAATCTATTTTTGTGCATAAAAAGACAAAGTGGAAATAGAAGAACGCAAGAATATGCTTAACAGATTTTTGGCAGACATAGAGAAGTGAACATATAACAATGATTAGATGTAATGCGGGCTAATGAAGGTACATTTTTGTCTGCATCTTGACATTGCAGCATTTCCTTCTTCCTGTAATGTGTAAATTAATGTCATGAAATGCTACCACTTATGCTTACAGGTCCAAGAACAAAAAATACAGAGTGCTATACTGGAGCTATGCCTTTTCTTGTCTAGCGCCAGATGAGGGCCTCTCCATAAAGACTGACTGAAACATCACACTGTACATGGAATCTGAGCTGCAAATTCAGTCAGCCGGTGTTCTATTCCCAGTCAGGTCCTTTGAAGCGGTTTTAACATTGATACATCACATAGAACAAGAACAAACTATAGACTCAGGTTGGTACAATTAAGCCAACGTTTTACAGTCTGACGAAGTTACATAAACAACATAGGATGCTTGATTTTAACATACACAAGAGAAGGCCAGTAAATCAAGGATAACAGCAAAACACGTCTACCCAGTAAATTCCTTCAAAGAATGTAAATAAATTCACAAGATAGAAAAGCAAAAAATAAATTATCTAAGGTATCTCAGTTGGAGATACAAGGCTTCTATGTGACACATCGTGTACTCACCTCATGTGGAGGCCGGCTAGGTGAGGAGACCACCACACTGTTACAGATCGCCAGAGCCAGGAAGAAGTCAGTGATGTATGTGAGCTCCAAGGAGGATGGGTTCTCAGAGCAGCACTCAGTCAGGTGGACCACAGGAGAGCAGAGCAAGTTGAACTTTCTCACCAGCTGAGGGTCTGGCACCACCTCCTTTGTCTGAACACGAACACAAACACGAACACACACACGAACACACACACGAACACACACACGAACACACACACGAACACACACACACACACACACACACACACACACACACAGAGGTTTATTAACAACTCAAGGCAAAAGTATGGACAAACTGGAGAACCCTAGTGAAAAAAATGTCTTCACAGTGACATCATTTCTGTTCACATGCACGAATTTCCTTAAAAAAGGCAAAACTTAATTTTTTTTTTTCATAAAGCATTTTACCTAAATTAGATTTCTGTGTGCTTCCAAAAGTTTTTTTGTTCTGAATACTCAAATTTACAGTAAAATAGATGTGATGAAGACAAGACAGAAGGTGCTTCATATACAGTGCATTCAAAAGCTTGGAGACACCTAGTTAATTGCATTTTTTTTCTCTTTCTTTTTGACATTGAACAAAAGTGAAGACTTTGCTATGTGAAAGACACATTAGTGTTTATGTAGTAAGCAACAAATGGTAAACAAACCAAAATACATAGTAAAGTTTAGACACCTCAGAATAGCCACCTTGGCCTTTAATATAAGTGACATCCCTCTCCACTCTCCAACCAGCTCCATGGGAATTGTCACTTGGAGCTTTTCCACAGCTATTCCAGGTATCCACTGGTCTAATGGCCATAAGCCATGTCTCTTGGTTGAAGCAGCTACCCTATTCTTGTTGGTCTTACTCAGTTATGGTTTTGCTGCAGCACTTCCACCACAAAAGCGTGATTCATAAAGTCCTCTCCAACACTGGATGCTGAGAAGATGCTGTTACTGGCACTCTACAAGACATTGCTGGGGGCTCCTATTTGTGCTGCTATTTATTGTTGAACTCTGCGGCTGCTAATTCTTCAGAACTTCTCCTCTTGGTCTTTCTTTCCTTGGGCAGTCACCATGAGTGCCAATTTCATCACAGCGTTTGTTTTAACAACCAAAAAAATGAATTAATGACAGACTGCGGCTTATTTTTACTTTGTTGAGTCCTTCATTAAGGTGGCAACACATTCCAGCATTTAACATTTGACACACTAGCCAATTAAAACCATTTCATTCTCATGAAGACTGCTGAGATATTGCCCATGGTGTACAAAGCTGATGTCAAGACAAACAGGGGATACTCTGAGATATCAAAAATATGAAACATATTTGGCTTTGTTTACCTTTTGGTCTTAACAAGATAGCATCACTTGCGTTACACCATACTTTAGATGTCTTCAGTATTGTTGTGGAATGTAGAAAAGAGCATAAACAAAGAAAAGCCTTTAATAAGCTGGCTCTGTAATTAGTTCAATAAAAAACTCAACAGTTTGACCTCCTAGTTATACATCAGTCAACAAATGATCAAATTTCAGAATGGCTGTGTTACAAAATATACATTTACTACAAAAAACTTTTTTTTTTTTTTTTTAAATCTATCTTTTTATGTGATTTATCTTTTAATACTGAAGACAAGCAAAACATACCATTCATTCATTTGACCACAGTACAAAGAACAAACTATACTCCACAAGCTTGAATTGATTCTCATTTTTGTAAAGCAAAAACACAAACAATTTATCAGTGGTGTGTGACAGTTTCACCATGCGGCTGCAGAAGGCACTGGACCTGGGCTGGACATGAGTGGACAGTTGGTCCTCCTCCTCCGCCGGCTCAGCAGTGAGTGTGTGCAGAGACACAGAGCTGCGGTTGCAGCTAAGGGAACGACAGCTCAGAGATTTGCCACTGCAGCCTGACTTCAGAGTCACAGAGCAACCAGCTGCTTCGTTACTGTCTGCCTCATACACCTCCAGCCTCCGAGCTAACACACAGAGCAACACAGACATTTAGCACATTAACAGGACTATAGGGGATAGTCGTAGTTTAAGGTTTATTAAACGCTTTATTTCTTTGATCTATATTAAAAGAAAACTGTGATGAACACACCCCAACAAGATTGATACATATTTGGAAGAGGACTGTGTGCAATTTATGCACATGGCACACTGCAAGTAACTCAGGAATTATTAATTGATTCTGATGTGTCACTGAGCTCCTACAGTCGCCTTAATATATCAGCTTTTCTACAAAGACAACAGGTGTAATGTCGCAAAGAAATTCCAAGTTTATACAGCGCAGCCAAAGCCTTCACTACCTTTTTATTTTCAAGTTTAAATTCTGTTTCCTCTAGACAATCCCAACATCTTTATTTTGTGTCAAGGACATGGTTACATGGAGTTTTTTGGTTTCACTTTACTAAAATACTAATCTAGAAACAGTGGCACTGTTACTGAATAATCCACATTTAGAGAAGAAAACAATTTGCATGTATAACCTCTCACTGTTCCCCTTCAATTACTGATCTGACTACAGATTTTTTTAAAATGTTAAAAATATGTCACCAAGAGGTACATCAATTTTAAAGCCTTTAGCAATCATATTATCAGTTCTTACCATTTTCCTCATGAGGATATTCAACCCCAAAGATACTGCAGCGGCGAAACACCATCTTATTCTCTGTTAATGTTCCTGTCTTATCAGAGAACAGGTACTGGATCTGACCCAGGTCTTCAGTGATGTTGAGGGCCCGGCACTGGATCCTGGAGTCCAGTTGTTCATTGTACAGGGCTAAGTCATTGTGGATGAAATAGATTTGACCCAGTTTCACAATCTCAATGGACACGTACAGAGAAATGGGGATCAGCACCTATTGGACAGAAATCAATTATCCCTTTCGCATAATGCATTACAAGCACCTATAAAACTGTAACCAACTGTAACTCGACCAACTTTGATTGAAAATGTAAGTCTATAGTAAAGGTTCCATGTAAGCAGACATATAAAGTAAAATATTGAATTCCAGCAGAAACTGCAGTGGGGTTGTGTCTACTGCTGTCTGTTACTTGATGCTAAAAAGTTAAACCTGAATAGCTGGCTTAACTTTGTGCAAAGGAGCAGTTGAAGAAGTTGGACGAGTTAAAAAGAACCCTATGTTAAGTCCCTGTAACTGTTTCAAAGATCTTACTTTGAAAATCTGTGGGTGTTTTCTCCTATTACTGTATGTAGATTGTAAGTGAAAGCAGTTGTTATTTAACATAATATAGTAACACAAAAAGTCTGTAGGAATTCCTACTCATGAGGCAGATATTTAATAAGACAGAGACAGAGAGAAACAGAGAGAGTGAAAGACACAAACTAAGATCATTTCCCACAATTAGTTCATGGTCTGCATGGATACAATTACTCCTGCGTCACTTAAGTCAGGTGAAATGGAAATGATGGTAAAAATGATTGTGGGTGGAGTCAGCCTGGAGCACAAACTGAAATTAATTGCAGAATGACTCCTGGCTAAAACGGTATTTTTGGTGAAAACTTTTGTAATTTGTCAAATTCTGTGCAGTATGCATCAACAGTGTAACAGAAGAAATAAGAGAAGCTGTTCATTACTCAGTGTCCATTTGCTGCATATTTGCAGATCATTAAGGTTACCATGGTGATGGTACCTGCAGCATTCTTCCTCAGTCAAACTGGGACTTAAAATAAATTTGACCTGGAGCACCTCTCAAACTCATACCATTAAAGTAAAACAGTTACTCCTATAGCAACGTTTTTATCACTGTGTTCCTGATGTGAAAACTTTGGAAAGTTAGGCATAATAATTTAAAAAAATGTTGCTTTTCTTTTTCTCTAAAAATCCTGGTCTCAGTTTGTATTGTTGTCTACCGGGCATTTGGTACTTCTCTAATTGCAAGGCTTCCAGTGCAAAGATGTACTTAAAAGTGTTAGCCCGTTGGCTTAGACAGTAACACTGTGAGAGAGACAACAATTTCTCCTACGTTTGGACAACAGTCACAAGACCCTGGCAGAGCACCACTGTGTTTGAGTTCTCCTCAGACAACGAAAAGGTCGCCTCTCTGCAAGTTTGGAATTTTGTAAACAATGACAGTCAAGGTGTTGACCTTTAATAGCTACTAAATCTTAAAGGCTAGTGACATGGTTTCAAAGTAAAAGATACGTAACAATTACTTGGAGTACTCTTATTCTTTGTAATTATACTTCATTAGATTTGGTCTCTGTTATTACCGGTTATGATGATGTAGCAAGCCAACTGCTGAGTTATTATATTTGAAATCCTCAGAATTGTATAGAAACACAACTAATCTCTCCATGTATACAATCCATTTAAGCATTTATTTATTTCATTGGATCTATAATTGCTCTCTGTGTAGCCCTGCGATAGACTGGCGACCTGTCCAGGGTGTCCCCTGCCTTCGCCCTAAGTCAGCTGGGATAGGCTCCAGCCCCCC